TTTTTTATTTATTTTTAATTCATGCGAGGGGCGATTCATCTTGATTAATGTAGATTCCTGCTCGAACAACTTCAGCTCCACCAAACCTTGATGAACAGAAACGTGATCAGGTTTGTTCATACATAATCTCACCAGGCTGTTTTTAGAAAGATCCGCAATCAGTTCAATTCTATATAAATTATTTACTTTTTCTAGGTGCTTATGCATGAAAAACCCCTCTTTCCCGAAGAGATATTCTTAATACCTTAAATTGCTTGTTGATTCAAAATTTTTTCTTAGGCATGCATCTCATAGCATTAATACACATCAGCAGGTATCATAATAGACTGAATTTTTTGGTGTGCAATTTAGCTTTTTTTTCTCAATCCAGTTGTTCTTATCATGATAATTGTTCTAACATTTATTTGTAGGTATTATCTGTATAAGCTCATTTGTTTAATCTTATTTACTCAGGCCCGCCATGATTCATTTAGGGCTGTGCCTACATTGCCTATACCCTCTATTCCAAAACCACAGCAGCAGCAGAAACAGGAAAAGCAGCAACCAAAGAAAGTTGTTGAAGGTGTCAATAAACCTAACAATGGAGAGACTCATTCTCCCATTCAGACAAAGAGGGAGATTCATGCAACCATTCCATCTGCTCACCATCCTAACACAACAACAACACGACCTTCTGTTCTTCCTTCAAATGTAATGCCAATACCTGTTTCCTTTCAACAGCCTCAGATTCATTTTCAGTTTAATGGTCCCAATCCACCATTGCCGTCACAAAGTGTTGTAGCGAGCTCGTTACAGATGCCAATGGCATTACCTGCAGGAAATGTCACACACGTTCCTCATCAGTTGTTTGTCCCTAACATCCAGTCTCATCCATTGCAACCTCAGGCAATAATGCATCAGGGCCATGGCTTGGGATTTACCCCTCAATTAGGTCACCAAATGCCCTCTCAATTAGGTGGCATGGGAATTGGTATTGTCCCTCAGTTTCCTCAACAACAGCCTCAGTTCGGCACTCAAAGAAGGGCTGTGAAAATAACTCATCCTGATACCCATGAGGAGCTTAAACTTGATAAAAGGAGCGATTCACACATAGATGCTGGCACCACCGGGCAAAGGCAACTTCAAAATGTTTCTTCTCAATCTCAGCCTCTTCCATCTTTTAGTCCTTCTCACCAGATAAACTATTACAAATCACCTTCACAAATCTTTTTCCCTCCATCTTCTCTTCATATGACGAGTACTCAGATGCCGACTGGTGCTCCGGCTGTTAGGTATGGCTATCCAGTCAGTCAAAATGGGCAAGCTATTTCATTCATGAATCCACCGTCCTCTCTTAATCAGACACTTGGTGGCAGAGCAGGGCCTCCACCTCCATTACATAGTTTGGGAGAAGCAGTGCACTCAGAAGGGTCATCATTCTCTGCCACATTGTCAGCTCCTGTCCAAGTGACAATTAAACCAATTGCGCTTCCTATTTCAGAGAAGACTGGTAAATCATCAGTAAGGGTTAGCTTGCCTGCTACCAAACCAGAGCCAACAAAGCTTTCAGCATTACAAGGGGATGCTTCATCTGTTCCCTGCCAGAAGAATAATAAGATTGATTTAGAAAGTAGTGTAATACTTCAGAACCCAATTTATGAACTATCAGGAAGTGTTTCTTCAGTTGAAAGTGATAAAGCCATATCCACAGTTCCTTTAATAGCTTCAACTGAAATTAATAGAACTGAAGTGCCTCAATCATTGCATTCTGTTGAGGATTCTTTGTCTGTTATGTTGGAAACTGATGGACAGAAAAATGAGGCTAAGAAAAGTTTAGAATCCATTATGGATCTCCAGAACATGTCAAGTGAAAGGGAGCCTAGACTTTCTCAACTACAGCAGGTACTTTCTTCACTTGTCTAATTATTCTCTATTTAAAAAGGGAATATTTATTTATTTATTTGATTAATTTAATGCATGCTGAGCTCGACTCTATTTAAAAAGGGAATATTTATTTGATTAATTTAATGCATGCTGAGCTCGATGTTTTTCAAATGATCAGGATTTAATTGGAGTTTATATGTTTTTCAAATGATCAGGATATAATTGGAGTTTATAATGACAATGGTACATCCAAATCAGTTTCCAATGATTTTGCAAGCATTCCAAGTGCTCCAACCGCTGATTCACCCAGTTCTACCACTAGGTTGCTTTCTACTTATGCAGACAGTAGAAATTATAGATCAGTTTTGAATACTGATGTTATGAGAACTTCTGGCCCTCCTGTATTTTCATTGGAGAATGCTGATCAAGGTGCTGATCATGTTGAGGTTGCTTGGCATAAACACTTTCATAAGGAGGCAGAAAAACCACAAACATCAGTTTCTTCAATTCTCAGTGCCACTGGGATTGTATCTGAAACGCCTAGTTCTGTTCTCAGTGGACCGACACAAGAGAATTTAGTAGCAGCACAGAAACTTGGAGGTGAAGCATCTGATGTTGTTTTATTAGATAGTAATTCTGCCAAAGAAAGTGCTGTTTACCCTACGGAATCTGTACAGAGGCCTGAAAATATCATTGGTGCTGAGCTTGATACTTCTGAGGGAATTAACTCTGAGGTTGAGAGGAAAAGTGGTGCTGAGCTTGATACATCTGAGGGAATTAACTCTGAGGTTGAGAGGACAAGAAACTCTAGCATCCCTTCCACTTCATCTTCTGACAACAAAGAGTCTGCTGCAGGGCTTTTTGATCAGGTCTTGTCCACCATTCCCGTAGGCTCTGCAACAACTGATTGTGAATTAACTTGCAATAAGGAGATTGATGTTAATGAATTTGCTACGTTACAACCAGAAACAATTTCCATTCCTCAAGTTTGCTCTGAAGTTGAACAGAACATGGAAGAGGAAGTTGTGGATCAGTCTAATGGAATTCCAAGAGTGATGATTTTGGAGTTGAAGGACAAGCCGGAGCCAACTAAAGGCAAGACTAACAGAAAGAAGAAAATAAGGGATGTTCTTTCCAAGGCTGATGCTGCTGGTGCTTCTGATTTGTATAATGCGTATAAGACCACTAAAGAAACACATGATGCTACTGTCAGCACCTCAGAAACTGATAGCAGATGTTCAACAGCAGAATCGAAGAATGACACATCTCAATGTTGCAGTAAGGTTGCAACTTCTGTTGAGGAAGATGGACAGTATAAACCTGAAGTTCAAGACTGGGAGGAAGCAGCTGATGCATCCATTCCAAAATTGAGAGCCTCAGATAATGACGCAGAAAAGCAGAACCAAAATGACCAGGGTAATCAGTCTTCTGGTAGAAAGAAATACTCCAGGGATTTCTTATTGGCCTTTTCGCAGCAGTGCAATGATCTTCCTGAAGGTTTTGAAAATGGCCCAGACATAGCACATGTATTGAATCTTACTTCTGTTGGCATAAAACGCGAACCAAATTTTAGTACTGGAAGGTTAATCGATAGGTCTCCTGGAGCTTCTCGGATTGACAAACGGAGTAGTAGCATTTCAGATGATGATAAGTGGACAAGACCATCCAATTCTTTCCACATGGATCTCAGTCATGGAACTGCTGCTATAAACTTTCGTTCTGGACAGGGGGTCAATAATGGGGTCCTCAGACATCCACATAACGGAATTCTCAGCGGGCCAATTCAATCTCTGGTTTCTCAAGGAGGGATGTCAAGGAGTAATCTGGATATTGACCGGTGGCAGCATGCCGGTGTAATCCAAAGAGGCTTATTCCCCACCCCTCATGAACCTTTGCAAATAATGCACAAGTCTTCTAACAGGTACGAAGTTGGAAAATCAATTGATGAGGAAGAGCAGAAGCAGAGACTATTGAAAGCTATATTGAACAAATTAACACCTCAGAATTTTGAGAAATTATTCTCCCAAGTCAAGGATGTTAAAATTGATAATGCAGTGACTCTTTCTGGGGTTATATCACAGATTTTTGACAAAGCGTTAATGGAGCCGACTTTCTGTGAAATGTATGCGGATTTTTGTTTCCATCTTGCTAGTGAGTTGCCTGATTTTCTTGAAAATAATGAGAAGATTACTTTTAGAAGGTTACTCTTGAACAAATGTCAGGAAGAATTTGAAAGAGGGGAGAGAGAGCAAGCAGAAGCCAACAAAACCGAAGAAGAGGGAGAGATTAGCCAGACTGAAGACGAAAGAGAAGAGAAGAAAAATAGGGCTCGCAGGCGCATGCTGGGAAACATTCGCTTAATTGGAGAGCTATACAAAAAGAGGATGTTAACAGAAAGGATTATGCATGAATGCATCCAGAAAATGTTGGGATATCGTCAGATTCCTGATGAAGAAGACATAGAGTCCTTGTGCAAACTGATGAACACAATTGGTGTGATGATAGATCATTCCAAAGCCAAGGAACTCATGGATAGTTATTTTAACAGAATCACAATTCTTTCAACAAACGAAAAGCTGTCTTCCAGGGTGAGGTTCATGCTGAAGGACACAATTGACCTCAGAAAGAATAAATGGCAGCAAAGAAGGAAGATTGAAGGACCAAAGAAGATTGAGGATGTACATAAGGATGCGGCTCAAGAAAGACAAGCTCAAACCACTAGATTGGCTCGTGGTCCAGCTGTTTCTTCAAGACGGGGAGGACCGACTGCCAATTTTGGTCACTGGGCCACTACAAATCTAAATTCTCCTAGTTCTCAGGCTAACAATGGCATTCGCGGTCTTCCAACACAGGCTCGAGGTTTTAGTAGCCAAGATGTTAGGCAAGGGGATAGGCAGCAGTATGAGAGCAGGGTAATGTCAGTTCCCCTCCCTCAGAGACCATCTGATGATGGTTCCGTTACCTTAGGTCCTCAGGGAGGACTGGCAAAAGGAATGTCTGGAAGAGGATTAGGGCTAATCCCTAATGTTCCTTCGGTTGAAATATCTTCGAGAGCTGGGGATCCTCACAGATTCGTATCGGGTTCTAATGTTTTCGCTTCTTCCTCTGATCGAATGACGAGTACATCAAGAGAAGATAGCACAAATAAATACATGAATGATAGGTTATCAGGGGCATCAAATGATCAAATAAGCTTTCAAGTTCGTAACTCTCACTTTAGCGTCAGAGATTCCCTTGCCGCAGGTATTACTACTTCGGGGGAAAGACCAGTATCTTCAGGTGGCAAAGTTAGAGAATCTAATGAAGCGAAATTATTCTCTGAAGATGCTCTACGAGAAAAGTCGATATCAGCAATAAGGGAGTTCTACAGGTAATTTGGAGCTCTTACTTTGTAAGTTTTGTTTTGTTTTCAGTTCTAACCAATCTTTATAAGAAGTTAAGTATAAGGTTCTTGTAAGGTTAGATCTCTCTAAACCTGATGCTTTGCCATGGTTAGACTGTCCCGGCCATTACAAGATGAGGGAAATGATTCGTTTTTACAGTAGTGAAGTTTTTTCACCTTGTTTAAATTCATTTATTATTATGTTATATGCCATTTACCAGCTCCCTGGATTAGACTTAATGCTTGCACTTGCAAATCTCTCTCTCTCTCTCTTCCCTCGGAATTTAAAAATACATATAAGTTGAACATGCTCCTTTTTTTTTAGACTTTTTGCTCCATAAGAGTACAACAGTTAAAATAAATCGAAGAGAGCAGTTGAGGTGGAGACTAGAAAAGGGAGGGCTGAGCATTTTTGTTTCGTTTTTCTATTAAGGTAGGAATGCTAGAAAATAATTCAATGATTTTAGTTATATACCTGAAATTATGGGCTAAATATTACAAAATAAGATGGCTATCTTAGAAAGAGAATGTGTAGGGCTCCCTTGAAAAGAGTTTGGCAAATAATTAAAAAGAGAGAAAAAGATGAAAAGATAATGAACAATAAACTCGCCTCATAGATAAATGCGATTACTTAACCTGAAAGGTTTTAAATTTTCACTATTGATTTAATAATCAAATCCCATAATAGATATATTGATGGCACGACTAGTCTTCACATTTAAATTAAGAAATAAAATGCTAATAATAAACTTTAACAAATCTTTAACAAGTTAATAAATTATTGATAAATTATATTCAAAATTAATGTCCTTGACTAGAATAAACTTAATAAAATAATTAAATCTTAAAGTCTTTAATTAACTGAAAACAATTATGAAAAAATACTAATCTAGAATTTTATGCCAGCATTTCTCTTGGCTGTAGGATGCCACTTCAAAGTGTGTTAGTGATAATAAATTTGATCTTGATATCGTGCTCCATTAATTATGAAGGATTGACTATTAGAATCTAAAGAGAAAAAGAGATAGAAAGAGAGAGAAAATACACGTAATGCTTTAGTATTCATCAGTTATCTTATCAACATATAAATATTCCCTATATATAAGAAGATATTATCAACTAAAGAAAACACAAGAAAAGACACTAATGTTAGGAAAATTGAAGCGAATTAATGTGGATATTTCATAATATCAACTTTTTTATAATATAATCCCTAAAATAAGTGAGCCCATATAATAAAACAAAATTTGATAATGATCCGAAGGTTATTTTGGTGGCATGTTATACATCATTGATCTGATTAGATCTTACTATAGGAAGTATGGCTTAAAATCATGCCGGTGGACAAAACTAGTATATATGCATTGGGTCTCAACTTTTGGTAATATCAAGTAGGTAGAGTGCATGTAACATATAGAAATAAATGAATAAAAGATGTAATATCCTTCATTGTAAACCCTAATAATATGATGAACAATCATACAATCATAATAGTGTCTCATATAACCCTACATCTATGTCAAATTAAAAATTCATAATTTTTGTTTACATCAATTTTATCCACTTCGAAGTACTTTAATTTCAGAGAATGGTTGTGATAATTAACTTGTAATAGACTCCATGCTCCATTGGTTATGAAATTTCAGGATTTAATACACACACAGACACAGACACAAATAAGTAGTAAAAACTTAGCGTGAAGCATGGACTGCTATTAATTGCAACCATAAATAATAGCATCCGACTTTTTTGCACAATAATATCCTACCAAATCAACAAAAATTTCAAGGGGAAACAACTTGTGTGTATAATTTAGTTGATGCCAACATCTAAATAATAGTTAAGTTTGAAAATTTAAACCTGACATTTGTTGAAGCAGGGAATTGGGAACAAAACTACAAAATCTTAGGGTTTTATCAAACTGAATTTCAACAATAAACCAAAGTATAAAGTGGCATTTAAAATGCTAGAGAACCCATCTTGTTACCGTAGGAGTTAGCATCATAAACATGCTTCATCTAATAAACTAACTAGAAATAAAAATTAACATAAAGATAACTAAAATAATATTCATACATGATTGTGTTTCCAATGAATAAGAATTTTAGATTTGGATAATTTTGCCTTGATTGAAAAAATATTGCTTTGACAAATCCATTTGTTTGATCTTTGTAAAAATAAAACAAATAAGTTTTTTTTCACAATGCATAAGATATTCTTGATATTTGTCATCCGTCGTGGTCATAATCTATGTAAGTTGGTTAGCTTTTGGAATAAGCTCAGTAAATATGTCTGGGAAGCTATTGGATCTGAATTCATGAGATGGGAAAAAAGATTAGATATTGAATAATGTTTTATAAAATGAAGTAAACTTAGATGCATTCAAATTTATAATAACCCCAAAGATTCCTGAAATTTTCATTTCATAAGCATTTGAGCCCATCGTGCCATTTGATTTATATGATCTCATTTTTTTATTTCTATCAAATATTGCCACTGAATTAAAAAATGAATTTCACCGCTTAAAATTTGACTGACCCGGCCCAAACCAATAACATAGAATAACGGCCAAATAACCCCACAATAACGACCCCATATCGCGGTATTTAGGGGTTTATTTGGGGCTGGTGGATTGTTAGGAGCGAAATAATCTAAATCACACCCAAGTAACCCGCGACACCGCGTGAATAGTCGGAGTTATTTCAGCATTATTGCGGGGTAATGGAAGGGTTATTGCGTGTAGAGGGGGCAAGGGTTACCGACTGCGTAACGCAGAGTTATTTGAGGCGGTCTCCGCGAAATAACCCTGCAATAACGCTCGAATAATCCCGCGATACCGCGTGAATAGGGGGGTTATTTCGACGTTATTGCAGGGTTATGGAAGGGTTATTGTGGGGTGGAGTTTATCGACTGTGTACCGTTGAGTTATTTGAGTTGTTCTCCACGGAATAACCCCGCACTAATGCCCGAATAACCCCGTGGTACCGTGTGAATAGTGATAGTTATTTCTGTGTTATAAAACAGGGTTATTATGGGGTTATTGTGACGTTACTGCGGGATTATTTAAGCTGTTTTGCGGGGTTATATACGAAATTATTTATATTAACTTTATCTAAGTAATAGTTTTATAATAATAAAGTTATAATGTTAATAATATGTTACAATTAAAATATAAATACAATGATTATTAAATATTAAGCATATGACTTAAATAATTATATTTATACTCATAAAATTAAAAACTATCAATTCTTTTTTATATAATGTTTTCGAAAAGACGATGTATTCCCACTTATTTTGTCATGTTTTCCATTTTTGATTGGAACATTTTGGGTTTATTGTGTCACCTTTTCCATCTGCGATTTCGAAAGCTAGGTTTCGAGCTGCTGCGATGGACTCTTCTCTCAACCAAGAAATAGTGAGTTTAGCTTCGCCCAAAATATTTTTGTTTTCCAAAAGCCTTTGTAGTAGTGCTACAACAACATTTCTGCTGTCCTATTTTGGTGATTATTATATGTTGTTATTTTGCTATTATTCTTGTGATATTTTATGTTATTCTGAATGTATTTTGGGGTCATTCTTGTGTTATTTTTTTTAGTGTTACTCTTGCATTACTCTGTAAAGGTAAATAAAGATGTAAATAAAGAGGATGGGGAGCAAGAACAGTTCATTAAATACCACCTGAAAAAAATTTACATATGACAAGATTTGATTACACCAACTAAATATGAAAACTCACTCTATACACACGTACCTCATTGGATACCTCTGCCATGGTACTTTAGTGTGATATTTTGGTCTTTTTCTGAATGTATTTTGGTATTTTTTTAGGATTATAAATGTGTTGGTGGAATATGTTTTGCTATTGAGATTGTAGTATTCAGTTGATGTTATTTTTATATCTAACCAACTTTATAATATTATGCAAATTTGCAGTTCTTTGAGCCTGGAGATGTTTGTAATGATCCAAATGTAGACAGCTTTCTTCACACGATTTTCCACAATGAGCAAGAAACATATGAGCACTATTGTGTTTATGCACATTATATTGGTTTCTCTGTTCGAAAGGACCATACTAATTATTGACCAAACTCCAAGAAAATTAAGACGAAGGATTTTATTTGTGGAAGAGCTGGTCGCAAGAAAGAGTCACAATACACTTACATGATGCAGTTCAAAAAAGCGAACACAAGGGCTGACTGTCAACCCATGGTTTGATATGTTGTCGACCCATGGTTTGACAACAACTGGACAGTTAAGAAATTTGTAGAAATGTTGACAACAACTGGACAGTTAAGAAATTTGTAGAAAGTTATAATCACCTATTTGCGGAAAACGGTGATGAACATCTTTTGCGTTCCAACAGAGAGATAAGTGAGATAAAAATAAAGATTTGCTAAAATTAATGACAGGATCAGGGGCGTTTTAGTAGAAAGATAAGTGAGATAAATACAGATTTGCGGAAATCAATGATAGTAGAGCTACATATACATTTAACTTCCTTGCCACAGAGGTTTGGGGAGTAGAAAACTAGAGTGCAGGATCAGACATTAGAGCTACATATACATTTAACTTCTTTGCCACAGAGGTTTGGGGAGTAGAAAACTAGAGTGTACGATGGTAGATACCTTCAATTTTATTCAAAAAAGAATGAAGAAATAGAATTAAATAAGGTGATGCCAATTCCTCGTTACAATTGTTCATGGAGAGTCAAACTGAGGATAACATATTTGCATGAGACTTCCAAATTGACGAGTTTTTTTTTGGAGTGATGAGTCTTGCAGACTTGATTATTACTGTTTTGGAGATGTCATAAATTTTGATACATGCTACCAACTGAATAAGTGTAATTTATCTTGTGCTCATTTTGTAGGGATTAACCACCAATAGCAAAATGTTCTCTTTGGAGTTGATTTTTTTGTCCGACGAGACAATTATTTCTTTCAAGTGTTTTATTAAAAACATTCATTCGTATAATGAATGATAAT